CTAAGTACAAATTATTTCCATGGAAATTGAAAAAAATAAAAATACCAAATATCTGTAAATAGCAAAAGGCACCACTTCAGGATATGTTTGATATATCTGCCAATTATTGTTGAAAGATACTGAATGGTTTTAGAGTTGTGCTCCGGAAACGAAATGAGTATGGATGGACAGACAGACAGACAATTTACACTAAACTGAACTGAATTTCAAATGGAAAAAGAGCCAAACTCAAAGCACGACCAAGTTCAAAGGGGAAACATAGTTTCACAATGAAAACACACTACCATATTCACTGTAATAAGTGCCATGGGCTTTAGAAAAATGACTATGTGTGTGTGTGCGTGCGCCCTATTAAAACCACACACAACAGGTGTGTGTGTGCGTGCGCCCTAACAAAACCACACACAACAGGAGGTGTGTGTGTGTGTGCTAACAAAACCACACACAACAGGTTTGATTAGCATGATTAGTTTTCAGAGATGGAGGAGCAGTGAACAAACTTATTGAGACGTCAACGAAACAAACTTTTTCAATCATAGTTGCAGGGCAATTATTTAGTCTTTATGTGCTACTGTTTCCTCAAATCATAACAGAGTAACATTTACGATTGAAATGACAAATTTAATTTCAATCATAAATGTTACACTGTTACTTTACAAATACTGTATATTTTAATTCAAATGTCTCCCTACAATTGTTAAATTACTTGGTGTCGTCGCTGGAGTGTGTAAATATATTATGACGTCACAGTTGTAATTTATACACACACACACAAGAAAGTAAGGATCTAAATTTTCGGCCTTGTTACATGTAGTGAAAACACACAACAGGGTAATCATAAAGGTTACTTACAGATTGGTCTTGGGTGAGCGAGTTAAAATTTAACATCGCATCCGCATTATTTCAGCCATATACCAATGAGAACAAGTGGATAAATATACATTGAATATTCGTCCAGAAGTTTGGGGAGCTTATTGGAAAAGGACGTTTACCTCTTCAGTGAAACCCACAAGCACGGGTATGGTGCTGACAAACCTAGAAACATAATCGGGGTGAACCGGGATTCGAACCCACGATCATAGGTGGCGAATTGCGGCACTTTGTACGACAGGGCCACCCGTTCCCCCTAATGGCCTGAGAATAATGTATGGCACTGTACATGCTCTAACATCTCAACATTGTTATTTTACTTCCTAATAATATAACACTCACATACATACATACATACATACATACATACATACATACATACATACATACATACATACATACATACATACATACATACATACATACATACATACATACATACATACATACATACTAGAATGAGTTTTTACTCAAAAACATATGTCTCCCCGCTCCATTTTTTATACATTAGTTCAAGTTGTTACTGCAAAAGTGTTTGCAAATAAAAAAAACAATAATAGCAAATTATAGCCAGATAGTAGTAATAATGGTTTCATGGTGGGAAAGAAACACTACTTATTTGAGATAGTCCAAATTTCCATGGAAACGGAACAAATTAAAATTTTTCTAAAAGATGAAAAGGGAATAGTTGAGCATGTGGTCATTGCACATGTACAGTTTCATGCAAAAATATTTAATAGTATGAGAGTTATGGCTCAGAAACAAAGCCTAGAGTTGTTTGAGACAAAGTCGAAATTGTTTCTATGTAAACGTAAAAAAACTAATTTGGACAAATATCAAAATAGCAAAAGGCACCAGTTATGCTGATAACCAATGCACATGTGCAGTTTCACAGAAAAATGGGGAACAGTTTTCAAGTTATGGCTCAGATACGAACCCTACTCGTTTCCATGGAAACATAAAAAAAGAAGAAGTTCAAATAAAAGAGGATTGGAATGCTGATGCCAACACCAACGATCACGTTGTTTTCATACATTTAGATAGTTACTGTTGCTATTTATAATCATGCTAGATGCATTATATCAAGTTACTTTAGTGTAACAATTGTGGAGGTCCTTCAACCTTGACGTGGAGTACAACGGCCATGAATGGTGACAACCGTCATCTTGACAACTTGTAATCAAGAATACATATATTTGGATAGAAAGAGTTCATGTGCCTGAAGAAAAACACGAGTGAGTATTGTTTTACGCCACTTTCAGCACTATTCCAGCCATATCACAGCTTCACCAAAAATGGGCTTCACACATTGTACCTATGTGGGGAATCGAACACGGGTCTTCATCTTGATGAGCAAATGCTTTAACCACTAGGCAACCCTACCACCCCAAGAAATAAAACGAACATGTGATAGACATTAACTCTATCCATTAACTGCATTTTTATAGAATGCTGTATTGTTTGCTTGAGCACTTTCCTGCATCTAGATATTATGAAAAACAGATTTGCATTTGTTCCCTACCGCCTACTGGCTAACAATCAGTTATCACCATTTTATGCATGTTATTTCAGAAATATAAAGTGTGTATCATGGTGTATAGAGCATGTAGAGTTGACTGTTCCAATAACTTTGATTTCTGTGAAGTATAACAGAGCTCCAGATAAGCTGCGTATCTGCGTGAAATACGCATCAGAAATGCAGAAATACGTAGTAAAATATAATCCAAGCGTATCAAATACGCAACGAATATTACAGATACGCTACAAAAATAAAACTTGTGCGTATCATCAAAATATTGTGAAGTAACCCTGCGTATTCGATTAGCAAATCAGCAACTTATTTTGAAAATATAAACAGGCATTCCGTCAACCTTGCCAAACTCCACGATGACAGTTACATCATGATCATTTTCCATCACACTTTCTTGTGGAAGTATCGTGGTATTTTTTAGTCTTATAAAGCTTTCGAACCCACACGACACCAGTTTGCAGGGACTAGATGAATAGTGTTTTAAATATTTGACTTAAATACCCACATGTGTAAAAACTAGTGGGTAACAGAAATTTGAATACGCAGATAGAATTACTGATACCCAATGATTTTAAAATGCATGGGTAAAATACCCACAACACCAAAAGCTTATCTGGAGCTCTGGTATAAGCAGGTTATGCATTTTTGGAAAAATAGATAAATTAGGTTTCAGGATTGTATTTGGGGGAAGAATGGTAAGCAATGACAGAGCTAAATGTGCATTTTTCAGTGGTGTGTTTTTCAGTATTTCCTGACAAATGTCAGATTTGATTATCATTTTCGGATAAATATTTCTCTCTCCAGATATGAAAACAAGTAGAGCAAAAGCCAAACGAGATGCAAACATGTGTGCACAATAACAGGGGGTTTGGCGATAATTGGTCATCAGCGAAGACAGGTCACAAGCCAGTCTATATATTATTATATAGTCAGGCTTATATATGATATATGATTATTTGTTCTGAAAGTGAAATATTGAAGATATGAGTGTAAGTTTGAGCTTTGGTTCTCATCCATGGCTCAGCACAGCGATATATTCGATTTATAATTTCCTACCATGAACTCAACTGCAGGCCTCAAAGTTGCGACTAAAACGGTCGCCAATGCGACCTAAATTTCTGTTTGTCTACTGTCTAAAATTCAGAGGAAGCCAAATGACTACCTAGAAAAATATCTTGTGGTGACTAAATTCTATTGCTACACATCTGTAGACACAAAAATAATTAACAGCTGATATTGGAAAACATGTCTGCTAATAATTGTACTCGCAAATAATTCCTTCTAAAGTTGACAATGAACCAAAATACATAAATATTAATGTAACCAGTAGTTTATTTTAGTTGACAATGCTCATTGGATAAGCAAGGATATGCCTATATAATCTAGTAACAAAAATTGCATCATTGTTCGAGTCACAAATAACAAAAATCAAGTACAGTTTCCACAAATATACAATTTCAAGACCAGTGCTGAAACTTGTACATATCATAATAGTTATTTGATAAAGACAATTTCAAATGCTTTTGGCTACCTACAATACTGGCTTGACTTCTTGATTTTACCACTGGCTACATGGAAAAAAATACTTGTAGCTATATGACTGCTTTGTAAAAAATTAAACTTTGAGGCATGCAACTGACAAGACTGATATGTGAGCCAGTTATTTGAAAACTTATTTTTGCAAAGTGTATATGGCGTATAGGTACTGGTGTGAAACCTATCCCACACACTTGCAAAATAGAGCATTTTATCATGTTTACTTGGAAATGTATTCTTCTCCTGACCAGTTCTGTTTTGACAAATTTTAGATGTTGGACTGCATTAGAGTTCCCTTTCCATTTAACTACCAATAATTGAGTTATAGATGCCAAATTTGGAACTTTTTTTGTGAAAAAGTCAGTCAAAAGTGCATCTTGCATATAAATGAAGCCCCGTCAAGGTCCGGGGTAGAATAGGTCTTCAGCAACCCATTCTTGCCGAAAAGGCTTGTCGCAAGAGGCGATCAATGGGATGACATGTCATCGTATTCAAATTGTGTGGATTGATGCTCATGATGTCAATCACTGGTTTGTCTGGTCCAGGCTTGATTATTTACAGACCGCTGTCATAAAGCTCGAATATTGCGGAGTGTGGCGTTAACATGGTTAAACAACATACAAAACAAACATAGATGATTATATGATTTAAATGAATGGTGTCTAATGTTGTGTAGCAAGCGTTTGATAAATGATATCACAGTAATATTATGAACCTTAAATAGCAGCACAAGTAATATGGCTGTATTTCACATACTATGTTTACATAGGAGGGTCTCATTTTGTTTACACTGTAGTACATTTCGACCTGATGACAACATTGTCAGTCCAGGGGACTAGGTCATATCAAACAATACCGGCAATAAATCGATCATGCAACGGGCCACAATGTCAGTAATGACTATATGCACTGCTATACATGACAATGTGTTAGTTTGTACCACAATAAAACATGATTTGTAAACGGTAAGTCTCCCAAATCGTTTTGTAAACAAACCCCAGTAAAACCAGAATGTTATCACCTATATATCACAATTGTGTGGCGCCTAATGTACATAACTCACCTGGGAGGGTTACCGATTTGTAGTAGTGTGTAAATCAGTGTGTGATTAGATGGAATACCACCTGTTGAACGTTATCAACAAATGCAAACAAACTGGTCCACCTCTCTCATAGACTAAGATGGCGGTCATACCCTCTAACTATGTGAAAAGTTTTCACAAGTTTGCACAAGATTAAAGCGAAGAAGATTCGGAAAGTTACTTAAGTTTGATAAAAGTTATATAAGGCGCATATATTGCAAATTTAACTTACTTTTCTCTTTTCACAAGTGCGTAACTTTGATCACGTGACTTGAAAGGTCTCGTGAGTCACTCGATTTTGTCAAGAGACTCCCCTGTCACCAAACCTGAGTAACGACATGTCAAGCACTTCATGGACATGTTTGTATGTAAAGGGGAGTAACTGTTAAAGGGTTGGAATTTTCAGGTCTCGCTTACGTATCCCGTGTCAGTTTGACATAATCTGCAAATGCGATCCATCGTCAGGACAATGGGGAGTGTAAGACGTATCGTGATGGAAAATCTTGCAAAGTCATTGCAATTTAATTCAGTACGATGTTTGGGGACGCTATTGACGCCAACTCCTTCCTACCGAGACGTAAACTTAGAAGCATACCAACTTGTAGCTTTCAAAAGCGTCACTGCAGTATTATTTTTTCGCACTTACATTGCGGACTGGTCCGTACTTCTGATAGTGCTGGACTAATAAAATACCGCGACGCAATTTAACACGGATAACCCTCTCAGACAGTGTACTGACTCCGAGCCGACCAGTCCTTGCTTTAGCCCCATAATGCCGAACGCCAGGCAAGGTAACAACAAATATAGGTCTGGATAAAATTAGAAAGTTTGACATAAAATGTGCTTGTTTCAGAGTATTTCAGTTTATGAATTTTAAAAACCAGTGAGTGAGTATGGCTTTACACCGCTTTAGCAAATGTCCAGCTATATCACGGCAGGCGGAAACCAGACATGGTCCGGCTTCACACATCGTACATTGTATCCATGTGGGGAATCTAACCTCGGCCTTCGGCATAACCACTGAAACGCAAAGACTGAAATGATTCTATCGTGATATGACTGGAATATTGGCATATGCGTCGCAAATTAATACCCACTCACCAAATGAGGAGGTTAGGGTTCGATGACTTGGTTGATAGCGCGTGGCATCGTTCCCTGACGGCATTAGTCGTTGTTCACACTGTTAATCACTGGGTTGTTTTTGTTTTGTTTGTTCGTTCGTTCGTTTGTTGTTTAACGCCGCACTCCGCAATATTCCTGCTACATGACGGCGGTCTGTAAATAATCGAGTCTAGATCAGACATTTCAGTGCTGGACATCATGAGCATCGATCCACGCAATTTGGATCGATGACATGCATCAACCAAGTCAGCGAGCCTGACCACTCGATCCCGATAGTCGCCTCTTACGACAAGCATAATCGCCTTTATGGCAAGAATGGGTTGCTGAAGACCTATTCTACCCCGGATCTTGACCGGTCCACTGGGTCGACTGCCCCAGTCTCGATTATTTACAGGACTCCGTCATGCATCTGTAATATTACTGTCTGTGGGCGTTAAACAAACAATCAAACAAAAAGACATGGCTGATTGTGTGTCATCGTGCCCCGAAATTGCACACTGCAAATAGGCGCTCATGCTATCAATCACTAATGTACCTAACCCAGGTGCTTTATATACCGCCGTCTTATAGCTGATATAAAGCAGAGTATGTAATTACACAACATTCACGTCACAACTCATTTATTGAGTCATTCAAGAAAGAGGCAGTGGGGTAGCCTAGTGGCTTAAGCGTTCGCTCGTCCCGCTGAAGACCCAGATTCGATTTCCCCATGGGTACAATTTGTGAAGCTCATTTCTCGCGCTCCCCGCCGTAATATTGCAGGAAAAATCTTAAAAGCGGCGTAAAACTTTATTCACTCACTCATTCAAGTAACTACACGATATGCTATCACCTCCCAATTTGGCGTCCAAATCGCCATTTTAAATATTGAATATTCATGCATAGACTCCCAGCTGGGAGAGGACGGGTCTGACACCTGTAATGTGCAAATGATAGTGTAATGTTTGTTTGCATAACTGAACCGACACTAGTTTTATCCACCCATGAAACATGCCCGAGGCGCCCTCTTGCGTCTTATTTCACGTGACACCCTCAAGGATGAATGCGTTTGAAGCCTCCTATATATGAAATTAGAATCATTTAAAGCTTCTTTGTTGAGTACAGTCCTGTTTGAAGTAATTAAGTCTGTCCGCCAGGCTTGACGAGCTGGGCGATAACGTTTGCACAGTCACGTGGAAAACAGGACGCGGTGTCTCCTGAACCGTATGGCAAGAACCTCATGGATGACGTGATGTGCATTCGTAAGTGAGTGGGTGGTGACTGGGGTTGTTTGGAAAAAAAACCCTTTTGCCTCGTGTTTTACAGAAGATGTATATAATGTATTTTCTTCTCAACCCAGAGGAAAAAGTGTGAGCTACACACACACACACACACACACACACACACACACACACACACACACACACACATGTGCATGCATGCGGCGTGCATACGTACGTACTTACATGAGAGAGAGAGAGAGAGAGAGAGAGAGAGAGAGAGAGAGACTGTAGTGCTATTTAACCAACTGATTCCGGCACAATATATTGACCGCGAACAGTCCTTGTTTTAACGCCGAGCGCCAAGCAGGGTAACAACAAGTACCGTCTTATAATCTAATACAAGGCAAAAAAATGGTCATATTATGTGGCTGTATTAAAAAAAATATATATCAAGCTCTACTTACTAAACCTCCGTACGCTCACGAATGTCCAGAGAGAGACAGGCTTGTCACTTACTTGCAAGGTGGCATATTTGTATTATCATGACTTGACTACACCTAATACTATTAATAATCCATCACAACTAGGAAATACTCATCCAAGTTACGGAAGATATAGGGGTTGTGGGTGTGGCGTCAACACTATGCAGCAAAGACCTGTACAATTAGTTCATTCTGACCAGCCCATGGACATCCATGTTGAGACCCGTGAAGATCCGGGATAGAATAGGACTTCAGCAACCCGAATAAAGGGAGTTACTATTCCAAATGTTCATATTTTGTATGTCTTTGTTCAAGATAAAAATTCATTTTCATGCATGAGCGAATGTTCAATGAAAGGGAGGTAAGAGGCGACTAACGGGATCGGGTGGTCAGGCTCGCTGACTTGGTTGAAGTATGTCGTCAGTCCCAATTGCGTGGATCGATGCTTATGTTGTCAATCACTGGATTGTCTGGTCCAGACTCCATTACTTACAGACCGCCGTCATATAGCTGGAATAATGCTGAGTGCGGCGTTAAACAACAAACAAACAAAACAATGAGAGGGAGATGTGTATGGGTACTTACAACGTAGGCATGGGTATTGTAAGACCGCTTCATTAACTTACTGTGCCACCTCTCCTTGTCAAGATGCTGAAATCTGGGACTGTTTCTTTCTCTTCTTTCGCTTCAGCCAAGCAGCGTGACGAAACACCCACGATCTAGGTTTGGGTGTCATGTACCAGGGCCATGGCAGTGGACAAGACGGGTTGCAGATCCTGATCTTTCACCAAACACCCCCCCCCCCCCCCCCCCCCCCTCGATCCACCGTACCGACACTGAAATACGAGACCGCTCTTTCCATTGGACGCAAGCAGTGTTCGTGAAGACACAACAACTATCGCTAAAGGAAACTCACAAATACAATTCACGACCTCATTTATTCAAAGATAAACACACAGTACAATGTAATTCTTTCTTTCAAGAAGCTTTACAGACACAAAAAACAAGAGCAATAATTCATCAGGAAGTTGCTGGCACTGCCGTATATCCCGAAAGAACACGTGAAGCCAGCGTTTCCAAGGTGAGTGTTATTTTAATAAAGCGACAAAACCCTTTCCATATCCAACAGAAATCTCTGCATAAAGCAGAGTCGTTTGTACAATTCCGACTATATCATGAGCATGTGTTTATGAATCACTATGAAATAGTAATGATAACATGTGTTTGCGAAAAAGTGAGCGTATCCTGCCCCACCGTTGGCACCCGTCACAAACACACGCAAAGGCAAGTCAATTGTTCACCTAAAGAAACATGGGAACATATGGTACAAGTCAAACTAGGGAATTGCATCGGACATCATGTTTGTCACTGATGCGTAGATTGAGTAGTACTTTTATTCTACAATATCCGCAAAATGGTTCTGCATATTGCAGACTAAAAGAGAAAACATCTTCCATCTGAAGAAACTATTGAACTATGTGGATCGGCAGTGGTTTTCCACCGATTTCTACTCCCCGACACTTGGTCTACAAACAACATTGCAACACGGGTGAATGAGTATTGTTCTACACCGCGTTTATCAACACTCCAGCAATATCACGGCGGGGGAACACCCAAAATGGATTTCACACATTGAACCCATGTGGGGAATCGAACCCGGGTCTTAGCCGTGACGAACGAACGCTTTAACCACTAGGCTACCCCACCGCTCCCTGGGATCACGAACCAACAATGATACAAAAGGTTGGCATAGTCTCCTTTACGATCGTGCTAATTGTATGTATACCATTACTAATAACAGGCTCAGTTATTCTCAAACAATATTTAACGACATGTTATATGCATATAATTGTTGTATATGGAAACATGTTCAAAATGTTTTGTTTCGCACTGAAGATTCGGAACTAAAATAATTGGTCACAGGTTGTGTCAGACACTGGTGGTATTAATGAGTTAAATAGCGTATAATGAAGGAATGTTTATGTACTATGAAAGTGTATGCCAGAATATGCGAATTTAATGCAGTGAATAAATAATTATGGACATATATTTTGTGTCGTCTTTACGGTCTCTACCGGTTAAAGCAATCCGGTTTCGGACATTTTGCTTTAAACAATAAATGGGTATGGCTCATCTACGTTTGTGTATGGGTCATACAAACTGGTCACGAGGCAGCCAAGTGAGGTACGAATGCTCAAAAAACAGGTACAAATCTGGCGAGAATTTTAGGTACACTTAGACATTAGCGTGGGGTACGAATCTCCATGGGTACCGATCGTCTAGTATCCGACAAATGGGAGGATGGTTTATGCACGCCAAGTGAGGTTT